GTGTGTGTATATATGTGTATCTGTAGTTCGATCGCGAGGCCACAAGTCTGTCCACAAACCGATACTTCTGTTGGTTGCCCGTACAAAACCTTCATAAGCTTGGTTTGCCTCAACAATTTCAAAACACGCCACACCAGCACAAACCGCTCAAGACCGAACCGAACCGATCTGAGTCGCGGCCGCCACCCAACCAAGAGACCCGTGACCCGATATGCGTACCACGGAAGCCGATTCGGGCAGTCAGCCGCAGATTCCCGGGTTTCGCAGCGATGCAGACGGTTCCGGCACAGACGCCCGACATTCGCGTAAGTACGACTTAGCGACCAATCAAGCTTGCCCGTGAGATTCAATCAAGCTGTCGTCAAACTTCACGAGATCAATCTCTGGCATACTCTTGGGAGGATCCGGGGGCACTGCGAAACTCTACGCGCCAAACAAGATGCTCCAACGAACAGATTCGTCATTGTATATGAATCGATTGCTGTAGGTCCTGGCCATTGTCAGTTCTTTCGTACCCAAGTGCAAATTTGATGGGCTGAATGCAGCCTGTCGTCGGTTTTCCCAAGGAAGCAATTCTGGTGGCGAGCATTTAAAGGGGTTTGCAAAAATCCTGGGCATCTACATGCTTCCCAAATCCCCGAAGCATTCTACGAGCATAAAGTACCGACGTTCCTCTGCGTCCACCTCTACGGCGACCACACAGCGACCGCAGACGTGTTGTGATGTGCGACGTGCATCGACGACGTGCATTGCACATGCTGGCGTGCCGGCTCCTCGTTCTCTTTCAATCACAGGCCAAGATCGGCTAACTGCTAATGCATAAGAGAGCCCACAGTCTGTGCTGCGAAATGACTGCACTTCTTAACTCTCAGCATGTGCAGTGACAACAGTCTCAGTCAACTCCTCACAGAAGGTATGGCTGCAAGGCAGCACCGCCACAATGCGGCCCTCCTGCGATTACAACAACTGCCAAACGAAGAACACGAATGCAAAATCTTCTTCAACTACTGTGGTGTGGAAATATGATCTCTCTGCAGACTTCAGCTTTGTCCTGAAATTCCTCGTGGCAGCACCAGCAATGCACAGATGTGCCGTGCCGCTCAGGAAGCATCACGAGCCCCAGTGAACCTGGTGGTGTCTGAGCTTACAGCAAAAGGGGCCTGGCGTGAGGCCCCGTGTGAGCTCCCAGCCTGAGTGTGTTCTCGGTGTCGCCTGCGCTTTGGAGCCGCGGTCATCCCTGCAGATCGACATCCTTGGCAGAGCACATCAGACGTTTTGCATCTTCGAGCTCCAATGCTCATTGCGCAGTTTAACAGGTCTTGACGTCGACCATTCTTCGTCGTGTCTTTGCCCATGCAAGTCTTGATACCGTAGGCATGTTCCGAGAGCCGGAGTCCTCTATTAATTACAACGCTTGAAACCGAGCTTCATCTGCAGGTGGGCTGACAGCGCTGAAGGCTCAGGTTGGCCCTCAGCTGGAGGTCTTCAACTGCAACATTAAGGAAGACAAACTCAGAAGCACCAGTGCCGATGGCACGCGCCACGTGACCCCGACCCTTGCACTCAACTTGCAGTCGTCTCCGGCGTGATTGGCCAACATGTTGTGCGGACCAGTGGCGGCGAGGTCATAGGCAGCTCTTGCCCAAATTCTCTCCTGTCGACCTTCAATGACATCCTGAGCCGGCACATGAGAGCGCGAGGCAGCAGAGCCAAGAACGACAGACCAGGCCTGCACAATACTGGGAGGGAGCTTTGCTGTGAGCCGGTCCAGGGCAGCTGCGATCCTGCCAGCGCAACTTCTCTAGTTCTACAGCAAACTCTAATGATTCAGAGTCGGTCACCCATGGCCGGCGGATACAGCCAAGCGTCAGGAAAATGGCCGCCAAGTGTTGTGTCACCCAGCAAGTCACGCCTGACTGACAGGAAGCACTTCGCCGAACTGGCCGCATGCCTCTCTGCAGCCGAACGACCCAGTGCTGTGCTCTGGTTGGCAGGGCCAGCCTGGCACATGTCAAACAAAGAGGTCAGTCTGCAACAACCAAAAGGAGTTTGAAAAAGTGCAAACGCATCCAGGTGTCCAGAAGGTGTAAGCAGCCAGCTGCTGCAAGTTGAAGGTAGGACTTCTTCTCCTGGATCGTACTGTTGCTCTTGCGCTTGCTTGGCTGCTGCAGCGGGTCCCCGGTAAAATCGGCAACTAGAACGGCTGAATCGCCAACCAGCCATGATTCGAGAAGTACAGCGGCTGATTCGGATCCCAGAACGTTCTTATCACCCCCAACCCCACGCCTCCAACCCCCCCCCGTCCCCTACCCTCCACCCCAATCCCCAACGTTTCTGATGTGCACTGATTCAGTTTCTCGGCCCTGTTTCTGATTCTGCTACTGATCTACAGTAATCATTGCACCTACAAGCCGACGGACGGTGCCCGAAAGCCCTGGAGTCCTGCATGCGCTCAGTCCGAGCCGCAGGCCTGGCGACAGAGCTATGCTCCAGCTGCCTCTGCCACTCCCTCTGGCAGATCTGCTGCTCTGCGGCTCTGGCCTGGTTTCCCCGCATTTTTCGACTCATCGCATGGGAGGCGATCGCTTGAGCCGCCGACACGCTCGGCAAAGAAGCTGTCTGTGGGACACATCTGCAGAGATCCGACTGAGGCCCTCACCTTCTCCATGACTATGTAAAAGGCCGTGGGGTCCTGCATACCAGTTGCACACATCATGAAATCGGAAATCGTGGCTGCATATGGCTCTTCGAAGGTATGGGCAGGAATCCTCCATGACCTCGTAAATCTTTGCTACGCCGAGGTTCTCTGGCAAGTTTAGCAAGAACCTGAGATGCACTCGTGCTGGCCCAGAGCGTAGCTATTGCATGACCCGGGCTCCCCACTCGGTGTTCTGCCGCCACTTCTTCTCGTCCTGAAAAGCTTGAAGTCAGCTTTGAAAGATGTCTGATGTCACAAGGACATTGCGGCTTGGCCTGTCTGCTCCTGAAGCAGCTGGGCTTGAAGCGCACTTTCACCACGACCTCGCATCGGAGCTGCTCTCGACATCATTCGGAACCATCGATTGGGCATCGCGAAGCTTGGTATCTCATATGCCATAGCAATGCTTTGAAACGGCGGGTCTGATGCAAAGGACACCGAGACCAACCCTCCATGCCTCTTGTTTGTCCGACTTTCGGACTGCAAAGTTCACCTGAAAGCCGACTTCTGTCATCTTAGGCGAACTGACTGCCTCTCACTAGGCTCCAGGCCTTCATGTACCTGTGCGTTGAAGGCATGACTTCCTTGCCCATGTCGTAGTAGTCTCCAAAGCTGGGCACATTCTGGATGGTCCTTTCGCTACCGGATCGCCTCACTGCTACTTCAGCAACGTGCCCCTTCCCGCTTTCCGACCGAGTCAAGTCACAAAGTCTGCGCACAGAACTGAGTGGCTGTAGGGCAATGGCCCATGACACGTAACATCAGAGCCACAAAGTAAAATTTGAGAAGATCGCTGGTCTGCAGCTGGTAACAGGATATTGCACAAGCAGTTCTTCTTGCTGCTTCCCGTTTGGTAATTACTAGTTCTGGCACCGGTCCTCAGAGGAGGTGGCCTGTCAAGGTCACTTCGGATGCAGACTTGCAAAGGCAGTGGCTCGCTGGCTCTGTGGAAGGGAGGGACAGCTTCGCAAGCGCACGCAGTAGAGCTTAGGAATCAAAACGCTGCCTGGGCGGCGGCGCCGATTCACGGGTGGTTGTGTGGTGAATCTTCCTGAGAATCTCAATCTCGATGATCACATAACTTCAAACCTTTACGCTATGCAAGACAAGCTCCAGGTCCTTCGGACAACGTTCCCTATTAAGATCTGGCAAGGATCCCGTAGCGGGCATGCAGCGATTGTGACGATGAGCTCATGGCAAGGCTCCCTCAGTCCCAAACTCGGCACACCTTCTAAGGCTGCAATGGCTGGGGCTGGCGGTTGGCTACAGTAGGGTCTTGTCTTGGGGCCTGGTACACGCTGTGTTCGTGGCACGACATTTGAAAGTGCCGTCTTCTCTGCACTGGCCACCGTGAGCAAGGCGACAGGCTGCCTATCTTACAACTTCCTTGTCTGCACTTCCTTGCCTCATGAATGTCCCCTTGTATCATGGTCTGCCTTCAGCGTTGAGCCATACGGCAGCAGTCCTTCCCCGCATCCACACCTGCAGCTGTTGCTCTTTCGCGAATTTCTGCTGCACAGCTGCACATAGTGCATTACTTGGGGGTGGAACTGCACAGACCGAAACGCAAAGCAGCATATCGCACGTGCTGATATCGCGCTTACAGACGTTCACTGTGCACGGATGATGCGGAGTGGTCACCCTGAAGTGCTTGGTTATCTGACTATCCAATCAAATGACCTCTCCTCGAAGATATCTCCACATGTTGAAAACGCAGAAATGAAACGGCTGGCGGTACGTCCGCACGGCTCGCTGCTGCTTTATAATGCGCTTGATCTTTCGTTCGTAGAGCTTCTTTGTCCTTCCTTCCCTTCCCTCCTTCAATCAGTCGTTTGTTTAGCCCTGCAAAGCAACAAAGGAAGCGTTTGGATGAGATGTGTGAAGGTTGTCCACAATCTCGGTGTAGCAAACAGTGAAGTGAGTAGTGTGTCTCTGCAGTATTTGGGGGATTCATTGCGTGCCGATGAAGGCCCACCTCATGCCGGCTGCATAAAGCGCAAAGGATGCCGGCTCCCTGCCGTGCAGCACCATCGAAGAAACAACATGGGATTAATACTGCATTGTAGATGCAGCGTTTCCGCGGTGTGGCGATGTCTCTGCTTGTCCAGAACTATCTGACGTTGTTGGAAGGAAACTAGCGTGAGCAAGCCGTGCAGAGAACCCAACAAAACCGGTGGAATTTTCTTCGCACAGCACGACTTCGATTGCATCATGCGCGTGCAGTTTCGACGACCTGAGCATTAACGAATGCACGACTCTTCGCGCTGCCCGCCGAACGAAGCAAAAAAAACGCTCGTCTGTGAACAGCCCTGTACAAGCTGTGTCTTACTGTGCCCACGGTGCTGTGAATGCGTATGTCAAATATCGTGCAGGATCATGCTGTGGACTAAGAATAGACGAAGGTAGGAGGACAGGAGACACCCAGGCCGAATGCCCGAGAGAGCTGTGCGGCCCGACGGTTCTTATTCCAAAAGTGTGATGCTGATAGGCTCGGGGATGCTTCTCCGAAAGTTGGCAAAGGGCAGGAAGCCCTTGAATTTCTGTAGATTGATTGGCAACAGCGCCAGTGAGTGTTCGTAGCTCGAGATGTAGCATAGTGTAGCCGAACTTCCGTCCAGAATTTGTATGCTGGCTTGCGACTTACGGTTAAGTTGGGGGTAACAAGCCCTGTGACCTTTGTCACAAAATCCAGCGCTGGGCTCCTTGAAAAACCCCCGAGCCCAAAAATGCTTGGTCTGGCCATAATGTATTTATTCAGTACATTGCACCGGACAGCGAGCCCTTTGACCTGGTGAACAGGCGAGTCGGGGCCAACTTACAGCTCGAACTTAGGGGGGGAGGATGCTAGCCCCTTGGACTGCATGCCCTGCCGACGGTGCACACGTGACGACAAAGACGACAGCGACCACCACCGCAACATTTTCTGTTGCAATAGGCAGAATAGGCCCGATGCACGAAGAGTAACTTGCTTAATCGTCGACAGCACCATGTCACAGACGCGCTTTGGAATAAACGTTCAAGCCTCCGCAAGCAATTTTCATCACACTCTACAACAGAAGCGTGGTTCACGCTGCTGCGACGCACCCACTCCAATCTCGGTCCACTTCTCATTCTGGCATGACTCATGCATCAACACAGCCTTGGTTGGACTGGTTGGGTTAGCCCCAATACCGGAAAGGTGCGAGTGTCACCCTTCATCTCGTTGGAGCTGCCTGTTCACTCTCGGGCTGTCTTTCGCACGGGGAGGCTTTTCAAGACTTTCAGAAGTCGAGTGGAGTGGTGCAGCTGGAGTTTAGTGCGTGCTTTCATGGCATGGCAGGCTCGGAGCTGCAGATCTGAGACTAGGAAGGTGCTTTTCAAACGAGACGCCGTACGCCAGCAGCCTAATCCACGCGGCGTGCGGAATCATCTTTGGACTCCGCGTTTGTGGCATCCTGAAAAGCGCAGACAGGACGGGCGGGACGGGAGCGGCTCCGAGCCCGGCCTCGTCAAGACCCAGGAGCTCGTTGATCAGCCTGACGGTGACCAGCGGTGAAGCTCCCCGAAAAGCCCTTCCGGACCCCTTCCATCCCCTTCGGCTGCCTTGTAGCTACGGTGCTCACCTTGGCGAGTCGAGGCATATGTCATCGCATATTGCGCACGGAAAAGGAAGAGCGGATTTGTCATGGACAGGACTCGGCCTTCAACTCCCAATCAAACTGAACCACAACACCCCCAGACCTGCAGATTCTCAAAAACGAGTTCTGGTCTGAGCAGCTGCAATCAGAAAGCAGCCTAGAGACCAGTATGGCGACCACGGCAAAAGCAATCGACTCGACCAGAACGATTTGCTGCGCCTTCGACATAGGAAGCATCTCATGATACGTCTCTGTACTCTGTCAAGTCTTGGAAGGAGCGTTCCGATGGACCGAACAGCCATTTGAAAACGGTGTAAACAAGAGTTCACAAGACACTAAAACCCTCACTAAAGCTGGAATTCCAAAAAGTGAAGAAAAAGTGAAGACCAGGCACAGGCGGCCGCATGACTCGTATTTTCCTGCAATCCCACACCCGCCCACTCGCCGGGGCAGGCGGGCGGGCCGGCGGGCCGTGGGCCTATCATTTTGCTTTACAACAAGCGAAAAAATGGTGCAACAAATGTAAAAAGAAATTGTGGAAAAATGAATTAAACAACAAGGAAAAAAGCCAAGCAACGGACAGGTGTGCGGGAAATCCCGGGTCACCTGGCCCGCCTGCCCTTTTGCCTTGTTTTATCTTTCTTTTCTAGCAATAACAATCGTTGCGTTTTGTACCTGTGTTTTGCCTGTGTTTCACCTTTTGCGCCTTGTTGCAAAGAAACAAGATAGCCGGCTCTGGTGGGTGGGCGTGCAGGAAAATTCGAATCACGTGGTCTGTGCCTGGCCTTCACCTTTTGTTCTACATTTCTTTACCTTTTCGTTGCCTTTGTTGTTTCTTGTTTCTGGTGTTGTTGTTTTCCTTGTTGTACGTTTTCTACTACCTTCAGCTACTGCCCAGCTTCGCATTGATTTTTCCTTTTTGTTTACCCTTATTTTGCCTTTTGTTCAAACTGGCATCTGCCTTTGTCTCCATGGCTCGCACCTCCTTAAGCAAGAAACAGTACTAAGTACAGCTTCTAACATACCTGACATCGTCCCGTGATGGTCCTTCGAGCCGATCTTCGATGCTTTGCAGTCAATGGGGTATTGGAATGTCAGAAACGGCGGAGAGGAGCGAAGACAGAATCCAGCAAGTAGTAGACACGAAACTCCGCTGTCTAAGCAAGGGCCGTGAGTCGAAGCTTAGCACATCGATTTGAGGTTGGGATTCTGTGTTGACGCACAGCTTGCAGCTTAGCATGTGTGTACTCGCTCACGAAAGGCTGAATACGTGACCATGATTGGCTGGGGACCTACAGTGATCCTGCTCAGCCGAATCAAGGAAGATGCTTGAAGAGTTTCCTTCAACATCATATTTAGCATAGTTATGCAGCCGAAGGTGCCGTGCCTGAGACTGCACTGCGCTGCCATCATTGCCCACCGAAGTCAGCAGCAGCATGCCAAAGGACCTGTAGGAGACACAACAAGAATCTGCTGCGGACAGACTGTCGAACGCAACACAACGTCAACAAAGTCAAGGATGCTTCTGTGGCGCCTGTAAGGTCAGGTCTGCAACATGCACAGTTTCTACATCTGTACCATGCAACCATGATCCGTCTCGCAAGCAGTTTACGTCTTTCAGGTCTGTAGTTTTAGGGTGTTTGTATAGTAGGCCTAACCGTATGCGCTCTCCTTTCTTGTTCTTTGCAACGCATGAGGATGTTTTCTTAGACCCCTTCGCCAAATGGGTCTTGCACGTGTTTAGTAAGTTGCGCCGTGCTGTTTTTACTCATCCCCCAGCTTGTCGTGCAGATCTTGAACAGAGTTGCATCTCGAAGGTCCAAGCCGAAATGGGGTGAGAACGGAGTTGAGGCTGTCGTAGCTTTCTTATGCCATGAGCTTGAGTGGCAGGTGGAGG